GAACGTTTTTTTCTAAAAATTATTCGCTGATGCTCGTTTTCTTTTTAAAATTTGGGAGTCATTGTTTTGGACATTGTTTTTTAATTTATTCAACCATGGCTTTAATTTATTTCAGAAAACTTATGGATTGCAACAATAATTCAATCAAAATAATTTTTAATTAAAAATTAAAAAACAATTCGATTCGATTTTGTATGATTTTTGAAAATCGAAAATAAACCAACAAATTTTGAAACAATGTGAGGGGAAAAACTAAGGGTTCACGTGGATCCGAACCAACGGGTTCAATTTCGCAATTTTTTTGTGTAGCCCTATATTATAATATGTGGAATGTCAAAAAACTGAAAATTACATTTTGTCCCTTTTAAAAAAAAAGGTTTATTATTATTTTTTGTTATTTTAATGTAGAGAATGGAAAATTCTAAGTTTTCATACTGGTGAATCAATATGAGGAAAAATTAAAATAAAAAGCTCACAAGGCAATACGTTTGGAAACATTGAATTCACTTAAAAAGTAAAAGGAAAATTTCTGTTGTTGCCAAAATTTAACATTTTGATGTAAATGTTTAAAAATTTTGAATAAGTCTATATAAAAATAGAATTCAACAAACAAAAGCATCAAAAGGAAAAAAAAAATGTTGTGATGCATAATCACAAGCATGGATTAGATCGTTTTAAAAATAGCTACTAAAAATTATTCAAAATCGGATTCCTCATAAATCCTCAAAATTGATACTTTAAAAACCTACAACTGATATCCAAAACTCCCAAACAGGCGCTTAGGATTTGACATGGTCATAAAGTAGGATTCAAAGCAGATAACATTAAGGGAAAATTGCACAAAATCCTACACATAAAGTATACTATTTAAAAATAAGGATGATTGGTTTTAATTTCACAGATCAGGTGATAATGAAGATTTATTAAATTGATTAATATATGGTTACTTTATTTTTCTCTCCTTGACCGTTTCTCTCAATACTTTCTCTCTCCAAGGTAAACATTCTCTCGCACCATTTCTCTCACGCCTTTCTCACTCCAAAATGGCGACATCATGTCTCCTATGCCTAAACCATTTCTCTCTTTAACAATTTCTTCACCATCTCTCTAGAAAAGTAGCACCCTTTTAAATTCAGTTCCCTCGACAAGGCAACAAAAAATCACTGTATCTCAATGGCGACATAAATCTGAGCTGGATTTGAGGTAGAGTTAGTGAGGAGGTTGTGAATTTTGAGGTAGTGGCAGACTTGGGTAATATCGACGACGGTGGAGTTTTATATGTAATAGATCATTTTCGGTATTGTGGAGGTGGAGGTGACTCTGGTGTTTATTGATTGCATGTGTTAGGTGCAGGTGCAAGTGATGGTGGTGATGGGTTGAAGATGGGGATGATAAAAAAAAATTCAAGGTGGAAGCAGTGGTGTGATGGTAGGTGATCAAATCTGTGTTAATAGTAGCATGTGTAATCAGAACAGTGAATATTTGTGACAACACATGTTTACTTTCAAAGTTTGTGACCATTTATATGTCAACTGTGACCAAGTCTACATTAATTGTGACCCATTTGATCAAGTATGTCTTCAATGTAACTGCTCGTGATCAGATCTATCTTAACTATGATTGTTTACAACCAAATTAACAGTGACTTGGTCACATACAGTCATAGTTTAGATTGCATAGTCATAGACGGACACCTTGAAGATATATTTGATCACAATTAATCACAAATAACACGAATCCGACCATACATAATAACAACTTACACAGACATAGTCACAAACAATAACAACTTACATAGATCTGATTACAAATAGTCATTGTTAAACAGAACATGGTGACATACAACACAAAACATACGAAGTCAACATAATGTTTATACTGGTGTGAAATTATGACAAATTTGGAATGATTTTCGAAGTAGTAGAGATGTGAATGTACTGATTTCCCAGATTTGTAGAGTAAGAGAGAGAATGTAAGTGGGAGAAATTTTAAGGAAGAACATGCTATTCAAAAAGGAATATTTGATATATATTAGGATGTGATAATGATGATTATATTATCCTAATTTAATGTGTTTTTTCTCTCTCTATATATATTAATAATGATAATAATATTATTATGACTTAACACTTGATTTGTGAAATTTTTTTACAAGTTTGATAAATGTGAAATTATATTCTTAATAATCTTTCCCTGAAATTAAAGTTCTAAAATGCGTAATGAGTGGTAATACATTTTGGTAGCATCAAGGATTACAAGCATATGCGTAATTATATGTTTTTAATTTTTTATATTATTTTAAACTAATAAATAAAATAATGCATTCTTTGAACTTCATACACGTTCTTCTAATTTTCAAAAAAAAAAAAAATATATATATATATA